ACGAAATCCTTACAATGAACTATCACACTTGTCAAATCTTACTCGAGCGCAGTAGGAGAACATAAAATGAAAATGCAACAGCAGTGAAAAGTCTGCACATTCAGTATATTTAATCATTCATTTATTTCCCCTGGTTCCCAGTATCAGTCTATAGCTACTGCCTATGTCTGTAGCTGTCAGGACAGATGTTTTATGCTCCATGCTGCAGCCTCGCAGGGGAAAGGTGCAGCACTGCTACGCGCGAGGATCTACTGTGTTGCCTTGGTTGAAATGGCATGCAACTAAATCCAGAGGCAGACATCTGCACACATGACACTGTCTGTCTGTCTGACGGGTCCACCATGTTGAGATAAAGAGGCTGGAGGAGCAGAGCATAACAGAAAAGCTCCCCTGGGAGGAAAAGGAGGTCAGCAATATAGATCCGGTGGGGGTTAAGGAGTACAGGCATCTGCAGCAGGAAGGAGGTGACATCTGGGAACTCCAGAAAACTTTCAAAAGGCCTTCAGTTTGGAATAGACTCACTGAAAAATAAGATAGAAAAAGAGAAAAAGATAAGAAAGCGAAGGAAAAATTAAGATAAAAAGAAGTATAGACAGACAGACGCTCCTGAAGAATTAGAGTCCCTGTATGGTTTATGCAACCCACTCGGCAAAGTAAATGTTGGCATACATTTCTGCAAATCATGGATACATTACATTTTCATGTTATTATGTAGCGGATACATTGAAACTTTCCAACAACCCTGTGGTTGAGGCGTGGTTAGGTTTAGGCACAAAAACCACTTGAGTATGGTTAGAAAAAAATCATGATTTGGCTTTAAATACCCAGTTCTGCTGCTTTGTCTTGGGAAAAAACAACTGCTTCTGTCGCCCTTTCCTGCTGGAAAAAGAGCTACAGGTCACCAAAAGACACCCATGTTTAGGGGCTAAAAATCCACTGGAAACTCCAGAGGAAGTATTTAAGTGTGGGAGTGGCCTATTTGAATCCATTTTGTTTGAGGCCATGCGGCAAGGTGAGCATGCTTGTTGATCCGGTAAGTTCATTTAGCTCCTTTAATTTTAGCTTATATTGTAGTTATGCTATGTAGCGTGTGAAATAGAGTATGGGGAATGTGCTAGGAAAGGTAGTATCAGCCCTGTTTCTACCTAGAGCTCGCATGTACGGAGCCTGGGTTTGGTTGAAGGTGGCAGTGCTGTTTGGGCTGAGAAAGCCATGTGTAAGTAAAGTAAAGGAGGTTATTGGGTTGGTGCAGGGAGGGGAGCAGTGAGACCTGGCATTAGGGGAGTGTCTCTGGGACGCTAGAGATCACTGTCTAGCCTCCTGGAGGTGTCGTGGGACCAACTAGACAAAACACTGGTGAAAGGAGGTTCCCACCCTTTGACCCCAAAGACATGCTAGTTATCACTGCTCATTGGTTTGTATAGTTAAGCCTTGCCATATTAGCTTATCATAGGGCTTAGGTTTTTCACTGAGTGTTGATCCTTTCTCTAGAGCACAAACTTCTTGTGTTTATTTGAACTTTGTTGGTTGTTGGTCCTTGAACAGTGGTCTGCAGCTTGACAGGCATATCGGGAAGGCCTCATACCATTCACCACCCACTCCACTTACCGATGACAAAGCCAGTCATATTAGAAATGTTGATATGATACGTAAATTGTGCAAATGTATTTGTAGTTTGCAGAATGTTTTTTTTATTGCTTTCCAGCTCCTCCAGGGGCACCCCAAAGGCGTTCCCAGGCCAGATAGGATATGTATCCCTTCAGTGTGTCCTGGGTCTTCCCTGGGGCCTCCTACCAGTGGGACATACTCGGTATACCTCTAGCTGCTCTACTCCGAGCTCCCTCCAGGTTTCTGAGTTCGATAGACTATCTCTAGGGCTGAGCCCAGCCACCCCACGGAGGAAACTCATTTCGGCCACTTGTATCCGTTATCTCATTCTTTCAGTAGGTGAGGATTGCGATGTAGATGGACCAGCAATTCGAAAGGTTTGCCTTCCAACTCAGCTCCCTCTTTACCACGACAGTCCGGCACAGCGCCCGCATCACTGCAGATGCTGCGCCAATCCATCTCACACTCCATTCTACCCTCACTTGTGAGCAAGACCCCGAGATACTTGAACTCCCACGCTTGAGGCAGTAACTCTCCCCCAAACCGGACGGGGCAATCCACCGGTTTCCGCCAGAGAACCATGGTCTCAGATTTGATGGTCCTGACTCTCATCCTGACTGCTTCGCACTCAGCTGCAAACCACCCAAGTGCATGCTGGAAGTCATGGTGTGATTAAGCCAACAGAACCACATCATCTGCAAAAAGCAGAGATGCAATTCTTAGGTTTCCAAACTGGATCCCTTCCTCCCCCCGGCTGCATCTTGAGATCCTGTCCATGAATATCACAGACAAGATCAGTGACAAGGGACAACCCTGGCAGAGGCCAACACTCATCGACAATGTGTTTGACTTCACGCTGAGCGCGCACACAGCTCTCTTTGGACATACAGCAACTGGATGGCTCATAGCAGCGTACCCTGTACCCCACCACCGTTACTCTTGTCCACTGTTACTCCTGAATCTGATTGAGAAGTAAATCTGACTTATGATGTGACAGTACTTTTGTAAAGGTTTAGCTCATCTTGGGTAAAGATTGTGTTTTGGGTTGAACTAGGTTAGAATAATAAACACAATAATAACCACAAGGTTGAAGTTATGGAATTTCTCTCGCTATCAGGTATGTAGTTTGAGCAGTAGGTTTATTCAGCAACAAACCTGGATGTCAGTGTAACAGGGTTTTAAACTGGGTGTCTGAAATTGATTATCCTCCAGCTAGCTCATTGCCTGAGGAGAGATAAGGAAGACAGAAGAAAAAGGCGGAGCATAAAATGTGGATGAAAAGAAGGAAAGTAGGAGGCAGCAGAGGAAAAAGAGGAGGACATGAAGGGCAAGAGAGACGCTCGCAAAAAGGATGAGACTGACAAAAAGGATAAAGGAAAGGGGATTTAAGTAGAACCTATGTATTATGGGCTGTGCAAGTGGAAAATTTAGATTGGAGAGAGGAGTAGGAGAAGAGTTGGCACAGGTGGGGAGAAGGGATGTGGGTTGAATAAGGAGGATTTGGTAGGTTTGAAAAGCAAAAGAGAGATGAGGACTGCAGAGTAGAGGAGGATTTTGAGCGGTAATATTTTATGTCTTCAGTGGAATGAGCTGAAGCATCCAGTTTGGCTTCAGACAGACAAGCTCAGAGAAAATATGATCAGTCTACTTACTCATGTTGTCACAATTTGAAAACACAGTCATTATTTAGTTGTTGCAAGTCACTGTGCATTCAAAATTACTTGTATTTAGTGCAGTGACAGATGATGTGTAGAGTGTTAAGTACCCACTTTCCAAATGGAACATTAATACTGGATGATTACATTCAATGGAAACTATAACCGGCGCCTTGTCGTCATTATCAAAAGAAGACAACCTGACTTTCTGAGCGTGTGTGTTTATGCACTTCTACGTGACAGCTGCTATAAACAGCTGGCGACATTATTAAACCACAGAGTGGCATGGCATCAGAGCACTGTGACACACCACTGCTCCTATTAGCGGCTGAGGTTTATGGTGCTGTCGTCCTTTTATATCACAGATTGCAGCTTTGGAGAGAAAGTTTGTCTCTCTATAAAAGGTCCAATTTAAGAAACATGCAGTTAAACAGATGTTTCTTTAACATCTGTTTAACTGGTTTATGTATCTACACAGAAAGTGTTTCAGAAGTGTGTCTTTAGTTGTGCTAAATGCAAGTGACCGACACTTAACACTGTGCCTGAATGCATCCTGTGTTGACACGGAGGGCTGAAGCTACTGCTCTGCTAACGTGCTACTTATGCTACGCCTCCTGTGATACATTGTGAGATTTATGTCTGTTTGTTTGACAGGTTAAAGATGGACTTTGTCTTGTGATAAAAAGTAGAAGATGTAAATCACTATTGAGTTTTTAGTGAAATAAGGCCTCCATTCATTGCATTGAGAATACACAGTCTGCTATTAAATAGATAATATGACAACTAACTTCAAGTGAAAACTCTTACAAACTTCATATTAACACAACCAACCCAATGTCATTCCCAGGGTGTCAAATATCACTGCTTTGTCACACCCCTCTGTGTGTGATATTAATGCACCCTTTAGCGTCTTTATGAGACTCACCGGGCTGCCAACTAAATCCAGTGTAAACCCATCTGCAGCAATACTTGATGCTGAGAGCAACTGATGTAGTATAAAGTGTGGGGAAAGTCTGCATAGGTTGGGAGGCAGGGGAAGCAGATGGGTCAAACAAAACTGGACTTTCATTCAGGAGGCCACAGTTGTGTACCTTGTGAAACCAAAAGTCAGTGCTGTTTTAATGTCATATGAAGCAATTTGCCTACAGTTGTTGCACACTGATGTCACTCCAACACATTTTCACTCCGACCTCATCACATATTGACGTTTGGTCATGGACTCTCCATGTCCAAATACGATCTGAAAGGTACCCTGGGTGTGCTGGTTTTTGACGTTCTGGGAAGCGGGGTCACTTTATACCTGTTACATGCATCGTCTTCTTTCAAAATGCACTTCTGTTTTCACAGGATTGTTTACATACAGTCTCTTTTAAAATAAATGCACTACATCAGTACACCATGAACTGATGTTTTTTTTTTTTTTTCTTCCAACAAAAAACACACGTTGTTGGGTTTAGGAAAAAATAACAGGGTTTGGCAGAATCTTATGTGACATGAACACCACTCTGCCAGGTGAAAGTCTGTGTTTGTTGGACCCATACACCACCCCTTCTGTCCACCCTACTAGGACTTTTGCCACCATGATGTGGCAGGACGGCACAGCCCGTCTCCACTCATGTTGTGTATGTGCTGGGTCAGGTGGATAGCTGTGTAGGTTCGCCCCTTTGCTCCCCTCCCATTGAGTGACACTGGGCTGTGAGCAATTATCCAATTTCACCAGCGTACTGGGTGAGGCCAGCCAAAGCTTTATATGGGGGAGAGCTGCGCCTCTCAGATGTGCGTCCCCCCACCTTATCCGGAAACCTGAGCGTGTGTGTCGGCAGTGTGGTTTGGCGTGGCAGAATTTGATCCACGTGGCTGTCTTGAGACGCAGGTCGGCGCGTCTCCTCTGCTCACTTTGCCAGGTAGGCTCAGACACTATTATTGCGTCTCTGGCTCGTATTGGTGCCGTGTCTGATGCTCTTTCTGTTCTCCTGCAGAGTTGGCCTGTACTCTGGCCGGGGGTTGGGAGTGCGTGGCCTCGGAGCCGTGCGCAATAATCCGCGCACCGTGTTGGGAACCCTCAGGTAGGCTGGCTCGTGTGTGTCTGGCGTGTCTCATGCGCTCTGTCGGGCTGCACATTATGTGACTCTGGTCTCTGTTTGCTGTTAGCAGCTATAAAGGTGGTTGGTTGGTGGCTATCTCTCCTGTTGCCTGTGACGCTGCGCCCTCACTCACGGGTATGTATGCGTGATTGTTTTAATCCATCTAATTGCAAGTCACGTATTAATTTTAGTCTGTATCACAGCAGGTGGCTCCTCCTCTGACGTGGGCCGCTGCGCTGCTGCTGCTGTTCTGTCCACCTGTTCTGTCTCGGGTTCACCCCAGCAAGCTTATTGTTCTCTTACATTTGTGTTTATTGTTTTTCGTTGTTTTGTTTTTTTTGACATCATCATTGTGTGTGTGCGCGGGTGTTTGGAGTTTCGCACGCCTGGAGTAAGTCAATCTGGATGAAACTCAAGTGTTGGCTGAACTGTATGCAGTGCTGCTCATGTGGAGGAAATGAATGCAGCATAGGACTTAAAGCTACACCAAGAGGACTGATCCACGTCAGCAATCTATTAGTATTGGTTGATTATTGTTTCTTTGTATTGTAATTAGATAATTATTTCGATCATTGGTGGATTTTGTGACCGTTGTTGTTTTCTGTAGATTTTTTTTTGTGTTTAGTTATCCAGTTATTTTTGCATAGGTTTTGGTTTCTTTTTTTTTTTTTCGTTTATTATTTGTTTGTTATATCAACAAAAGCACAATCAACCTTGGTGGAGACCTCCTGGGCCCGGCATAGTGTGGTGTTGGGGCAGTTTCTGGCTTGGTTCTGTTTTTTTCTTGCCCCTTGCCTTGACTAATATCTGCCTCTTTTGTTGGACAGGAGCTGTTGGGCTGGTGTGGCGAGCGACTGACTGATTCCTGCGGTGGCGGTCCCCTCACTTCCTGTACAGTAGTGCACATGGGTGTCAGTTGATGGTGTGTGGTTTCTTTTTTTCTTCACGTGTGGTGTGCCTCATCAGGACCCTTCCCCTCCCCCTCAGTCGTCGCCGCCTGGTGAGCCCTCAGCCCCTTTACACAGCACATGCCTTTTTTTTTTGGCAAACTTAACCAACCTGTCAAGAGGCCCCAGAGGATTGTGCAATAATTTGCCTTTTGTTATTATTATTGTAATCTTGCTTGCATCATCACTGAGATTGGTCAGCATTTTAAATTTTGAAATATCGTTAATAAACTTTCTCTTTTATATTTTATTTGGAATCCGTCAGTCTCTGTGTCTCTCGTACCTGTGTGACCTTGTTTACAGTATTAGAGAGGCGTTTCCCCTCTGATATATTTCCTGGGAGTGAAATTCCCCTAGGTGGCGTTGTCGGACACTTAATAACAGAAATAAATAAATTCAACCCTCGTAGCATTGCCACAATAACTTTCGTTCTTATCCCACCACACGCTGCTGAGTGCTGTTAAACTATGATAGCGACTGGTTGCGTATCAAAGGATGGCTTTTTTCATAAGTGTCTGATGTTGCAAGTCACTTAGACCGGGTTGGTCACTCATGTGACCCATTTTCTTGGCTTTACCTAACAAAACTTGCTAAAGGGCAGCCTGTGTGTTACTTGAGGACCTGGAGGGGTGAGACACTTTGTTGGTATTAGGTATTTTCATGCTGTGTAATGTGTAATATGTTAATTTTGTTTAGGTATTTTAGATCAACACACTGTTCACTGATCTAATACTGACCTTTGGCCTTCTTACTCGAAATTGGATTTCGACAACTTCAAAGTTAGACTGGGTTGGTCAGTCATGTGACCTAGTTTCTTGACTCTACTTAACAAAACATACTGATTTTAACCCAAAACTTGATCTTTTTTCTAAACCTTACCAAATTTTTGTTGCTTAAACCTTGACGTTGTGACGGTTTCACAACATTAACCACGTTTTACAATCTATTCAGCCGCGCGCCACATAGACACATTAAAAGGTGGCCTGTGCGTCACTTTAAGACGCAGAGGGGCGTGACAATTTGTCGGTAGAAGGTATTTTCATGCTGTATAATGTGTATCATGTTAATTTTGTTGGAAGTATTTCAGAGTAAGGTTGACGGTCGACCGTCAACCTCCTCAAGTAAAACTTTCTTCCCCACTATGTTGCAAACTTTTAAAAAGGCCTTTCCCCCCCACTATGTAATAATGTAGATCAAATCCTCAAACATACCCCTCCGCTGCAAGCTGAAAATAGACTTAATTAAAACAAGATCTGAGGTTGCAGCTGCATAAATTATAATTTTACATCTTCTCATCCACTACCTCTTACATCTGACACAGCTGTGTAAACAGCCTCTATACTTTGGGAAAGTTGAACTCAATTTAGCACTTATCACGTCAAAGCTAAATATTGTTCCATGGTTTTAGTGTCGCACTTTAGTATAGACAACACTTAAATCCTAAAATGACAAATTCTGATTATATAAAATCATCACATGGATTTATTGCCCTTACTGTGCACAGCACATGATTCCTAGGAAACATTTTCCAAACATAGTTTTTACTTCAAAAGCTGTAGAGTTTGTTATGTTTGTGATAGCTCACAGAAGCTTGTTACATTTGCAAATGATTATGACTACTTTTTTCCAGAAGCTTAGTTTGTGTTTGTGAATGTGTGCTAAACACAGGTCACTGATGTCTGGAAAATATAAGCATGACATGTGAGATAATGTCAAAAATAAATCACATTGGTTCCCCAGGGCAATGACACACTGCAAAATATTAGCCAAATAAAGAGAGCGATCTGAGTTTTGTCTGTTATTAGCAGGCAAGTTCTTGCGTTGTGTTTGTACATGATCTGTGATTATGGTGACACCTGGTCGTTCTGATTTTATGTGTCCTGTAATTTCAGCCCAGCAGAAGTCAACACAGATGAATCATAACCAACTTGTTGAGGCAAAAGAGATGTATCAAAGCTTGAGCGAGCAGTGTGGCTTCGAGAAGAGACTGGGGTTGGAAAATGGGTCAAAACCAAAGCAGATAATGGTTTGTGTGAAGTAAATGTATAATGTTAAAGTACTGGTAATAGTCAGTTTAAAAGTGAAAGTAGGTAGCAAGGCTCCTATTATATTACTTTGAAATGGCAGCCAGCATAAAGTGCTTTTCAAAATAAAATCTTTTCCACAGCTAAAACCAAGGACAATGACAGCTTGTCTTTGGGAGACAAGATTTTGGTAAGACCAGATGGCGCATGGCAAAATTTAATATAATAACTAGGAGGCTGAGCATATAAATTCTAAATGCACGTAATAAAATCAATTAAAAAATCAGCAGACAACCAGAGAGGAGCTGCATGGTTCAGGCACTAAGTAAAGAAATAAACAACCCTGAGAACTCGGCATGACTTGCTAAAATAAAACCATGATTGACCTGTTGAAGGACTCTCAATAATATTAAGGAAAAATATGCAATTTCAGCAATAATTTACCACACCTGGAGGAAAACAAGGCCGCACAACTGTTCAGCCAGAATACATAATGGTTTCTAAATGCACCAGCATGGAAAACATACAGTACTGGAATAACTGTTTGTCTCATGAGCTTTTAGTTCCCCAATTAAAGCGCAAAGATGATCTGAAACAATAAAACAATCACGGACCCAGCATTGAACCCTGAGGAACACCATGCAACTGTTGGCCAAACAAAACAGTTCTATAACACAGAGCTGGTCTGTGTATCATTTGTGTTGCTGACAGCTTTGGTCAGCACTTACACTGTAAAGCTTAACATGAGTGGAGCAGCCACAGTAGTCCTATGTGTGCACACAGGATGCATTCAGGCACAGTACTGAGTGTCTCCTGTGTTTTGGAGGCGTTCAGAGCCCAACATGCAGTCACTGGAGTTTGTTCTTTTCTCTGTCTCCTCCATTTGTCAATCAATGACTGTGGTGTCTGAGAAGTCTTGTGATGTGGAAGGACAGATTAGCAGCTATGGTATGCAGTTTTGGACAGTGCTGGTCTTCACATGACCTTCTCCTTTGTAACAAGAGGAAGCGCAGGGGGTCTCAGTCCTGTCAATAAGCCTTGGCTAACATCAAGAAGGATGAATTATACTTTTACACTAGTGATTATTTAGTCATGGTCACAAAAGAGCAAAGTAAGAATTCTTCATCTGTTATCTCTATCAGTAGTAAATTTTATTTTGATTAGCAGTACTAATGGGGATTGTGGGAGAAGCATAGCGTACTTCAAGTGTGATATGACCCAAGGACACAACAAAGACATTTTAAAAATGGTAAAATGGAATGAATCAGTAATATAGTGAAAAGAATTCTCCGTCCATGTGTTGCAATATATTTAATGCTCTCCCAGACCAGCCCGTCTACAACACTACTTCCTTTAAAAGGTACATTATTACGACTTCCTTCATCGTCACCATGTTTGCTGTTGTCAGAAATTGTTGACTCTGCTCTCTAGTGCCATCTAGTGGGTGTATCTATTCCAACATTAACAAAGCATGGAAAACTACGAGCACTGACTGAATTAATATGCGATTTAGGAGCCGTACACATGTTGCATCTTTAACCACCTGGAAAACCCAAGATCGGGCACTGGACGCAAGTCTTGCGCCCACTCTGTGCCAAGATTCAAGGTTGTGTCTGAGGTTGCTGAGCGACTATAACCAGCACTGTATCATAGACTACTTACTAGAAATCCTGAGTGCAGAGCTGATCTTCCAAGTGTTGTTCTGTAAGTGTGCACTGGGCCAAAATATAGTCCGCTTTGAGTAGTCCTTTATTAAAATAATCAACTTCTCCTCCATATTTTTCACAGACTGATATTTACAGAAGAAGGGAGAGATATCTGTCGGCTGTCATTGGTTGTTCCTCGTCACATGACATGCGGTGCGCGTTGCTCTGTTCCAAAAGTTGAACTCTGTTTATCTCAGGGCGTAGCCATCGCGCCTTCAAAAACAGGCCATCGGTAATGTGTGCTCGTCACAGCGGTGCCACTCTGGCATTTGAGCACACCTGTTGCATGTCTACATTGAAAACAATCAATTTGAGGGTGCAAAAATGTGGCAGGTGTATGGCCCCTTCAGCAAACAACTGAAATGTGTGTTGGAGACTGGCCAGTGTCTGTAACCTGGGTTGAAGGTTTCTAAAAGCCAAGAAATACTTAGGTTCATATTAGGCCCTTCGTATTCTGCTGCAGTTCGCCAGGCATCCAAAACATTCAGTAGGAGTTACTATTGCAATAAGAAAAACATGATCCCTCACTGGCTTCCCACCAATGAATACTGCCAGTAGTTTTTGCTTGGGTTTAAGATTGAAAGGCTTATAAAGAGGCTTAAGGGTTTGGATAGCTGTGTTGCAAGGTAACTTTTCTTATCCAAACACATCCCAGTCTCATAATTTATAACATTTGATGTTATAAAAGAATTCAGCTCATTCTTTGGGTTACCAAGACCCCAGTTTATTGTATTTATTCTCTCTCTGGCGTGTAACATTTATGTGGAGTTCAAAATTTTAAATCTGTGTATCAGTCACTTTCCACTTGTCAAACAAAAGTGACCTCACTGTACATCTGTTGCACCACACCGGCTCAAACAACTGGTTTAGGTTTGTGTCTCTTTAATGGGTCACAAGGTCTCTTCTGCTGGATCTTTGCTGTGACACTACTGATATTTTGTCATTAGCGAAATTCAATTTACTCTTTGGAGGGGCCAAGTTGAAGATTTCCATTTCGTGGCCGATCCCTGCCATGGACAGGACCATTACATCAGAAATAGGGTGGAAACACTGGAACCAGATATTTAGCACACTGGAGTATTTATTGGCACTTGAGATGAAGCAAGTTTAGGATCCTTCAGGTGATTGAAACTATGTCAACTTAAACGTAAGACAATTCAGAGCCAGAGAACACATGTGTATGGGTAGACTGTAGCCTGCAGCTCATGGCTACAGTAAGAGATCTTGCTTAATTCCTTGGACATTCCCTTAGCAACACATACATTTAGCCTGTATGTGACGAAAACATACATACACAGAAATAAAAGTAGTTTTGGATACATTTGGAGGAACACTAAATTGACTCAGTATGGGTTGTGGGATGAAAATTCTCAAGGTATTGGAAAAATTTTTTCAGATCTAATTTAAACCAATCCACCCCTGATATTCTCCATACAGACTCCACTGCCTAAAGAACACATCATCCACTGCAGTGGAGCAGAGGGGGCAAAGATTCCTCCGTCAAAGCAATTAGTCTTGGA